TAGAGCACCTGTTTGAGTCCAAGTCTAAGGAGCTGTCTGTCACCAAGGTAGGCCAGGCCCTGGCATGTTCTGGATTGACAGAGGAGAAGAGCTGGGGAGGTTAGTTATTGATGAGACATCTTATTTTATGCTGCTTTAGCTACTTGGTAAGCCATTCATTGGGATAAAAAGTCTAACTTTTTGGATAATATTCCTTGGATCCATGCTACATCAAAATGCACAGTAGCACCCCAGATAACCCATGAAAAAAAAGCAAAAAGACTAATGATGGGTAGCTCTGCAGCCTCGGAGCAATATCAGTGCTCTCCAGAGGAACTGAACTTGCCTACTTACCAGGTGCACTGAGTGTACTCATAACGTCACCTCAAGTTAGGGAACATAGGGAACATAGAAGCACTTTGAACTTAGCTGTAGCCACTCAGTGCTTTTCTAGGGCAATAATTCAGTCTCTAGATAATTCTCTGAGCTGACAGATGGAAACTATCTAGATATTCAGTAGTGACATATTTGCATCCCTAGAAAAGCTACATATACATCTAGATTTCTTATTTTTCATAAATGCATGAGAACCTGCAGGCATCACTATGGCAGTATTGTTAACACAGGTGTTATATACAATTATACAGAGAAACATTATAAAATGATTGGAAATAACACCATGGTCAGCAAATTCTGATATAGAGATTGCATAGCGGATTATATATCCCACGGGTAAGTGCTTTAATAATGCCTCCATTTTATATCTCAACCCACAAAACGTGAGTCGGGGTGTAGTGAACTTTTAAAACAGGTTAGAAGCTACGTTCTCTTAGGAATTTGGAGTGAGCTAGTAGCCTGCAGTTGCCAAGCTTTTTTTCATGACCCACCTCATACACTGTGTTGGACCCACTGACCCGACTGGCTCCTTCCTCCTTCGTATGCTCATTTGGCCAGCTGTGCTGCTGGCTGCCTGCAGCAACCCTGGAGGTTGCTGGGGGAGGGCTGCTTGTGGCCCAGGTCTGAGAAGGAGAAGGGTGGCAGGTTGGTAGTGAAGGTGTGTTTAAGTTGAACTTCCTTTATGGTAGGATTAAGTTTCCAGGATCAAACTTCAAATGAGTATTACTTCACCCTCCCCCCTCCTTCTCTTGGTATCACTGTGGCTCCCCGGGTGGGGGAAAAAATATTGACTTCTTTCCTTTCTCCAAGCCTGAGTTTTCTTTTTCCCTGTGGTGGGGGGCAGGTGGCAGGTTGGTAGTGAAGGTGTGTTTAAGTTGAACTTCCTTTATGGTAGGATTAAGTTTCCAGGATCAAACTTCAAATGAGTATTACTTCACCCTCCCCCCTCCTTCTCTTGGTATCACTGTGGCTCCCCTGGGTGGGGAAAAAATATTGACTTCTGTCCTTTCACCAAGCCTGAGTTCTATTCTTCCCTGTGATGGGGATCACCTTTCAAAATACTGCAAGGCCTTGTGGGAAACAGGGCATCTAGGAACGTAGTCATCCACATTGGTGGGTTTAGTGTCTTAAGACTGCATAACTGCGGATGGAACCATTTTTTAAAAAAATGTATAACATTGCTGAACATTTGCAGAATGTTTCCTCATCTTTATTCCTAAAACAATAGAACAGCTAGGACACAGCATCTGCATTATACTAGGTGATATTAATAATTCAGTGATGATTTAAAGCACTCTGGAGGGTTTCAAGGGTTATATACAAAACATGTAAAATTCCATTTTATGTAAGGCATTTGAGAATTATTGTACTCTCTGGTGGTCCTGTAACTAATCCCTTAGGGACACCAAGGGACAACTAAACTGAAATATTTATTAAATTGTTTCCAGAATGTTTTGCAATGAGACTCAGGAGCATATACCTTTGGGTGTTTATTTGTTGTTTTGGGTTAGTTTGTTTGGTTATGTTTTTATAAAAAAAAAAAAAGAAGAAGGGAAAGAAAAAAGGAAATCTGAGCAGGAACTAACTTGCAAAATGTACAAGAGGTGAGAATTCAAATTAATATCAGAGCATCACATTGGAGAGGTGGATTCTTTTGTATATGTTACTAATTCCGATATAACCAAATTCCACGTCTGGTTCTGATCAGTGACTGTGATTTTCATACAACACAGCTGTAAACAGCCACTTCCGAACTCTGGCTCATGAGAAGTTTTTCATTAAGCACAACAGTCTACACCAAAAAATGAAATCAACTTCACAAGGCAGCACGAAACAAAGGGAACTGGTTTTAGTTTCTATTGCAAACTAACACCAGACCAAAGCAATAGGGCATGGCTGTGATTTTCCAATCACCCCTACCCGAGATTCGAGCATGAGAGCTGTGCTGGGGGGACCACTTATTGAACAGGAGAAGAACAAAAGATGCCTTTCCTTCCTGGGTTCTTTTCAAAACTAGTTTGTGGAACAGAACCCACTTTTCTGTTTTGGCAGCAAATGTGCATATGCAGCTTTTCACAGTATGCTGCTCGAGGTATTGTGAGGTGGCACAAACCCTGGGTTAAGCCTTACCATGTTGTGATTTTGCTGTTACTCTGAGGTGTGGTGTGTGTTCAAGTGATTCCAGAGAACTATAGGAGGTCAGAGAGTCCCCAAAGCATCTGAACTTGACATGAGGAGCTCTGTGAAATGGGCTTCCCAATTCTTATGTCCAATCAGGGACTGCAAGACGCCAGATTCTCAAAAGACGCCTTTTTCATACCCCAGTTAACTACCAGATAAAGGCAAGTGTTCAGAAAGCAGGAGAGAGGCAAGGAGAGGACCCAGTTTTGCCTTTGAGGACACAATGGTTCCTTGGGTTTGTTTGGGGAAGGGTCTCGAGAGGGAGCTGGAGAAATTTGCTTAACTCTGTGTTTTCCATTGCTGGGAAAAGAAGACATGATCAAAACAACTTAGAGAAGTGAGAGTTTATTTGGGCTTACAGCTCCGGGGGGCCAAAGTCCATGATGACAAAGCAGGAGTAGGAAGCCAAGGGCTTACATTTTAAATGTAAACACAAGGCAGAGTACGACCTGGGAATGACTAGCTCCCAGTGACATGCCTCCTCCAGCAAGACCACACTTTCTAAATGGACCCAAAAGTTTCAGGAACTTTGGAGCAAGTGTTCAAATGCCTGCCATTCTAATTGAAACTACCACACTGTTTATTAGTGTATCAGAAGTTTCTTAGTATATCAGAA